GGGACACAAGCAAGGTCTGGAAGCCCATTAGGGTGAGGGACAAACAATCTGCACGGGTACTACAAGAATATAAGGTAGAACTGTAATATCTCAGATCTACACTGCAAGAAAGGAAGACACATAGACAACATGAAAAAACAAGGGAGGAAAGTGCCCCAAACCAACCAAGATACTACAGTGACAGAACTCATGGACAGTGAAGTGGATGAAATGTCGGAAAAGGAGGTCAGAAGGTTCATAATTAAAATAATCTGTAAATTAAAGAATGACCTAAATGAGAAAATACAGGCAAAAACTGATCACTCCAACTAAGAGATAAGAGAGCAAATAAAGGTAGCAAAAGATTACTTCAAGAAAAAGATAGAGACTCTGTAAAAAAAAAAAAAAAAAAACATTTAGAAATCCTTAAAATGAAGGAAACAATAAACCAAATGAAAAAACTTAATAGAAAGCATAACCAACAGACCAGACTACTTGAAAGAAGGAAATGTCAGATAATGAAGACAAAGTGTATAATCTGGAAAATAAAGTTGACCACACAGTGAAGAAGGTTAGAAACCATGAACAGAACATCCAAGAATTACGAAACAGCATAAAAGACCAAATCTAAGTTATTGGGACAGAGGAAGGCACAGAGTTTCAAATCAAAGTAATGCACAATCTCTTCAATGAGATATCAGAAAACTTCACGAGCATGAAGAATGAATCAGAAAACCAAATATAAGAGGCTTACAGGACACCAAATGTACAAAATTACAACAGATGTACAACAAGGCACATTATAATGAAAATGCTTAGCATTTTCAGAATAAGGATAGAATCTTAAAAGCTGCAAGAGAGAGGCATCAGATCACACATAGAGGGAGACCAATTCATATCTCAGCAGATTTTTCAACCCAGATCCTCAAAGCCAGGAGATGATGGAACAACATATACCAAGCTCTGAAAGAAAATGGATGCCAACCAAGAATCTTATATCTAGCAAAATAAGCTTAGATTTGATGATTAAATAAAAACTTCCCATGATAAACAAAAGTTAAAGAATTTACAACTAGAAAGCCTGCACTACAGAACATCCTCAGCAAAATATTCCATGAAGAGGAAATGAAACATAATGATGAAAATAAGCTGAGGGAAGTATTACATTAAAGGAAAAACTAATCAGAGGAAAAAAACCAAGTCAAGTTCAATACTAACAATAAACAAAAATGGCTGGGAATACAAATCACGTCTCAATAATAACCCTGAATGTTAATGGCCTAAACTTACCATAGAAAATTTAATAATAATAATAATACCCAACAATATGCTGCCTTCAATAGACTCATCTCATATGAAAAGATATCCACAGACTGAAAGTGAAAGGTTGGGAAAAATCATACCACTCACATGGACTGAGGAAGCAAGCAGGGGTTCCCATCCTCATATTAAATAAAGTAGACTTAAATCTAAAGTCAATCAAAAGGGAAAAAGAAGGACACTACATACTGCACAAGGGAATCATACACCAACAAGACTTAACAATTATAAATATATTTGCCCCAAACAATGGAGCATCTATGTTCATCAAACAAGCTCTTCTCAAGTTCAAGAGTCAAATAGACCACAATGCAAAAATTTGGGTGACTTTAACACACCTCTTTCACCACTGGATATATCTTCCAAACAAAAGATGAACAAAGAAACTATAAAATTCAATAATACAATCAATAACTTAGACTTAACTGACATATATAGAATAATTCAACCTGCATCAAGCGGATACACTTTCTTCTCAGTAGCACATGATCCTTCTCTAAAATAGACCATAAGTTATGCCACAAAGCAACTCTTAGCAAATATTAAAAAAGTAGAGATACTACCCTGCCTTCTATCAGATCATAATGGAATGAAATTAAAAATCAATGATAAAATAAGAAATAAAAGCTATTCCAACACCTAGAGACTAAATAATATGCTACTAAATGAACAATGGGTTGCAGAAGACATCAAGGAGGAGATTTAAAAAATTTAGAGGTGAATGAGAACACAGATACAACATATCAAAATCTCTGGGACACTATGAAAGCAGTACTAAAAGGAAAATTCATTGCATGAAGTTCATTCCATAAAAGAAAAAAAGTCAACAAGTAAATGACTTAACATTACATCTCAAAGCCCTAGAAAAGAAGAACATATTAACAACAAAAGCAGTAGAAGACAGGAAATAATTAAAATCAGAGCTAAAATCAATGAAATTGAAACAAAAGAAACAATTCAAAAAATGGACAAAACAAAAAGTTGGCTCTTTGAAAGAATAAATACAATTGACAAACCCTTGGCCATGCTAATGAAGAGGAGAGAGAAAACTCAAATTACTAACATAAGTGATGAAAAAGGAAATATCACAGTAGACACTACGTGCCGCAGTCTGGCTGGGCACAAAATCACGAGCCACTCAAGCATGAACAAACTTTATTTTTTGAAACTGCCACCAATGTCCAGTACGCGCCAGGGAAGATTTCCGATCCACCCACACGGCCTCCTCCGGGAACCGCCCCCGAAGGAACTCCCTCCTACTGTACTTCCCCAACCAATGGGAACTCTCCAGGATTCCCGTAGCAGGCCAAGGTGAACAGCAGGAGTCCAATATCCATATGAATGCAAATCTTAACATAATCATATCATCTCAATGGCTAGCTGGTGTCACCTTTCAACCAATAATGCCATGCATCATATACTTGGCTCTTAGCAACTACAGAAATACAAAAAAAAAAAAAAAAGAAAAAAGAAATTATTTTGAAAACTTGTACTCCAAAAAAATAGAAAATATCAAAGGCATCAACCAATTTCTAGAGTCATATAATTTGCCCAAATTGAATCAGGATGATATATATACACAATTTAAACAGATCATTTTCAAGTGAGGAAATAGAAGATACCATCAGAAGCTTACCAACAACAACAAAAAAAAGCCCAGGACCGGATGGATACACAGCCGAGTTCTACAAGACCTTTAAAGAAGAATTCATACCAATACTCTTCAATTTATTTCAGGAAATAGAAAAAGAGTGAACACTTCCAAACTCATTCTATGAGGCCAATGTCACTCTGATTCTAAAACCAAACAAAGACACATCAAAAAAAAAAAAAAAAAAGAAAAGAAAACTTCAGACAATATCTCTAATGAACATAGATGCAAAAATTCTCAATAAAATTCTGGCAAATCAAATTCAAAAATATAGTACACTTCAAACTAAAAAGCTTCTTTTCAGCAAAAGAAACTATCAGTGAAGTGAATAGAGAGCCTATAGAATGAGAGCAAATCATTACCACAAGCCCATCAGATAGAGCACTAATCTCTAGGACATATAAAGCACTCAAAAACCTTAACACCAAAAAAAAAAAAAAAAACTAATAACCCAATCAATAAATGAGCCAAGGAACTGAACAGACACTTCTCAGAAGAGGATATATAATCAATCAACAAACATATGCCAAAATGTTCAACATCTCTAGCAATTAGAGAAATGCAAATCAAAACTACACTAAGATTTCATCTCATTCCAGTCAGATGCCAGTTATTAATAATATAAACAACGATGAGTGTTGGCAAGGATGTGAGGGAAAAGGCACACTCATACATTGCTCGTGGGACTGCAAATTGCTGAAGCCAATATGGAAAGCATTATGGAGAATCCTTGGAAAACTAGGAATGGAACCACCATTTGACCCAGCTATCCCACTCTTTGGTCTATACCCCATTATTTGCAGTCGTTGGAAAAATTCAAAGGAAAATGTTAACAGATGCCTAACAAATATTTTCTATTTGAAAGACCTAGTTCTCAGAATAGAGCCATCATGCATGTGTCTTACACTATCCTGTTTCCAAGTAAAGAGTGGTCCAGAAAGAGTAGCACCAACATTAAATACTGCTAATCTCAACAATGAAATAATTTTTTCAAATGAGGTAATAAGGGGTGGCAGAGACTAGGAGTGTCAACTCTGAGGATAATTCATTGCATGGAAAAATGAAACCAAAGAAGTGAAGTCTTTCCCTAATACACTAACTACAAAAGAATTCCTGGCCCAGTGTGTTGGTGCACACCTGTAATCCCAGGAACTCAGGAGGCTGTGGCAGGATTGGAAGTTCAAGGCCAGCTTCAGCAATTTAGAGAGTCCCAAAGCAAATTAGTGAAACACTGTCTCAAAATAAAAAATAAAAAGTGCTGGGGATGTGTTTCAGTGGTTAAGAGCCCCACTGGGTTCAATCTCTAAGTCAGGCAGGCAGGCAGGAAGGAAGGAAGCTGGGAGGCGGGGGAAATCCAATACACCAATGAGAAAAAGATAACACACAAAGAAACCTGCCAAAGGATATGAGCAGACAATTAAGAAGAGGAAACACACGTTGTCAATTATGTTATTCCTAGTTTAAATTGGACATTCAAGGTCCATATGGTTTCATGAGATTACATTATTAAATTAGTTTTCTATTTGGTATTATAGTAAATCTTTTTTCAAAGTACAGGTATCCTATAAGTCCATTCCAAACTTTAATGAATTTAAAGATTTAAACTTCTTATTTTTTTTAACTTAGGAATAAAATGTTCTTCCCTGAGACTATCATCATATCCACTATTAATAATGAAAATAATAATCTTATTAATAAAAAGAGTTTTCTATATGTCAAGCAATGATCCTAGTGCTTCACATGCAACAACCAACTTGACCTTCACAATAGTCCTGTGAAATACTGGGTGTCATTATTAGCACTGATAAATAAGCAAACTATGTCCAAAAATCTGTTGGGATTTAAACTGCGACAATATGGTGCCGTGAGCACGGTCTTAACCATTGTACTATACTGCATATAATTTACAACACATCCCTGGCTTGTGCAGCATTCAACTTATTTTGATCATTTTCCTCCCCATGATTTGAGTGGCACTATCTCATTACAAAGGTAAAAACATAAACTATGATGGAAAACCAATGTGAATACAATAAACAAAAATGGTAGTCATTAGACTCATACATTTAATTGTAAAACAGCTGATTCAATCTGAGTCAACATCCATTCCCCTCCATCTTTGAATTTCTCCATTGTTTGGGGGGAAAAAAAAAGATTTAGAATGACTTGACGTCAATGGAAGGGGGAATTCCAGGCTGGAAATAGAGCCTCCAGCCAGCAGCCTATTTAAGGAGGCAAATGCAGCAGCACAGGATGGTCCAGGGAGATAAGCGATGCAGACCAAAGAAGGAGCATGAACAACAGTGGGTGCTGCTCAGTGTGTGAGAGCGCTTCAGCAGTGAGTGAGCCAGGACCACAGGAATGCAGCGCTTCTTCCCTGGAAAAGAGACAATGACCTCTTCAGCACAAAAAGCCAAAGGTCCTAAATATTAGTACTTAACTCAAAAAATCCTCTTCCTCTCTTTTTGAAATATTTACAAATTGTATTAAAATTGGCAAAAGAGAGAGAATTATGGAAAGAAATGCAAAATGCAGATTAAAACTATTTTAACATATTTGGGAGATTTTTTTTTTTTTAGCAAAAATGAAAATATCTTCCAGGAAAATATAAGTTCCATAAGGCCTCCTGTGTCTTGTTCATTCTGTCCTACTGCTCTCATTACCTTCATCAGTGCCCGGCATGAGGAGATGCTCAATAACATTCATTAATTTATTAACCAATGAACCAATACTGGGAAACCTGGAGCCCACAAACAGTTGTTTGTTTCTTATACAGAATCCCTACCCAATTATGGCTAAAATTATAAGAATCATACGGGTGAAGACGTATTTTGTACATGGTATAATGATCAGCCTAAACTCAACTAATTGAAATGTTTTCAGAGATATCAGATTGCTTTTTCTCTAAAAGGTGTTTTTTTTTTCAACCAAGTAAATACCATGCATATACTTTCTTTATGCCCCATCACCCATAGGTGTTGTTTTAGTCAGTTATTTCACTTGCTATGACCAGCACAATTAGAGAGAATAAGTTTATTGGGGCACTCACAGTTTCAGAGGTCTTAGTCCATTGGTGAGCAGAACATCATGGCGGAAGAGTGTGGCGGAGGACAGTGGCTCAGGACATGGCACCAGGAAGCAGGGAGACTCCCCTCACCACAGACAAAATATATACCCCAAAAGCAGGTCCCCAAAGATCCACCTCCTCCAGCCACACCCTATGTGCCTACAGTTACCATCCAGTTGATCCCCTTCAGGAAATTAATGCACTGATTAAATTAAGATTCTCATATCCCAATCATTTCACTTTTGTGCATGGTCTCACACATGTTCAGGGAACACCTCATAGCTAAACCACAACAGGCCTATTTTAATTTAACTATAAAAATTTCACCAAGAGATTCCCCCACCACTCTCTCTCATTCTCTCTTCTCATGTCTCTCTCTCTCTCTCTCTCTCTCTCTCTCTCTCTCTCTCTCTCTCT